GGGGAAGTAAGTGGCTTGATTTCATAACCTTATCAGTTATTCTAGTTCTGAGTAGTAAACTACTCTGACAACCATTCTTAGACGGTTTGGAGTGAATGACCCAGCTAAGCGTTCTTGTCCTCCTCACTCAGAACCAGTATGAGCCACTAGGCCTTTGTTATGCAGCCCATTGCTATTGTCCTGGTTCCAATTTTAAATTTTCTGATTGACAACTCATTTAATTGAGGATCGGAAAGCATACAGAATCACCCTTCATTATCACTTTGGATATGGACAACAGGTTCAAACTCCAGGCATTTGATGTCAGAACCTAAGTTTTAACCACTGCATCATGTGGTCTCCCATGCAGTGATGAGCTGACTATCATAAGAACAACTCTTTACAGACATTAAGTCAAATTTCTCTTTTTACCTCTGCCTTTCTGTCCTTAAAAGACAACCAAGGTAAAACCAAGCATGAAACTTAAAATGGACCATAGATTTAAACATATAATTTAAAACTATAAACCTTCTGGAGAAAACATAATAGAAAATCTTTGTGATCTTGGGTTAAAAAAAAAAAGATTTCTTAGATAGGACATCAAAAGCATGATCTATAAAAGAAAATATTGATAAATTAGACTTTATAAAAACTGAAGACTTCTGTTCTTCAAAGGATATCATCAAAAGAATGAAAAGACAAGCCACAGAATAGGAGAAAATATTTGTAACACACAAAGGATATATGTTTCCACAATATATAAAAGCTTTCCAAGCTCAACAAGAAAGCAGATTACCCATATTTTTAAAAAATATTGGCCAATTTTTTAAAAACTACATTAGAGAAAGACATAAGGGAAAACACAAGTTAAAACTACAATTGATATGTCACTACACAGCTACAAGAACAATTGAAATTTAAAAAGGAAAACCAAAAAACTGACATTATCAATTGCTAGTGAGGACAGGGAGCATCTGGAACTCTCGTGCATTGCTGGTGGGATTGCAGATCGGTTATGGTTATTGTGGAAGACAGTTTCGTGACTGCTTGTAAAATGCTCAAATCACTAATTATCAGGGAAATGCAAATCAAAACCACAATCGGGTATCATCTCATCCCAGTTAGAATGGCTAATATCAAAAGGGAAAAAGAAAATAACAAATGTTGGCGAGGATGTGAAGAAAAGGGAACTCTTATGCACTATTTTTGGAAATGTAAACTCTTATGCACTATTTTTGGGAATATAAACTAGTACAGCCACTAGGGAGAAAAGTTTGGAGTTTCCTCAAGAAACTACAAATAGAACTTACCCTATGATCCAGCAATCTCACTATTGCTGATTTATTTACAGGAAAGGAAGTCAGTATGCTGAAGAGATATCTGCACTCCCATGTTTATTGCAGCATCATTCACAATAGCGAAAATATGGAATCAAACTAAGTGTCCAACAACAGATAAATTGATAGAGAAAATGTGGTATATGTACATAATGGAATACTATTAAGCCATAAAAAGCCCTATCACTTGAGGCAACATAGATGAGCCTGGAGGACATTATATTAAGTAAAATAAGCCAGGAACAGAAAGTTAAACACTCATGTGCAGATGCTAAAAAAGTTGACCTCATAAAAGTGAAGCGTAGAAAGAGGATACTAGAAGCTGGGAAGGGTAGGGGGAGGAGGGGGATAGGGAGAGATTTATTAAAGGACAAAATTACAGCTAGATAGAAAGCAAAAGTTCTAGTGTTCCATACCATTTCAGGATGACTATACTTAACAATATTATATATATATCTTCAAATAGCTGGAGGAGAGGATATTAAATGTTCCCAACACAAAGAAATGACAAATGCTTGAGATGATGGATATGCTAATTGCCCTAATCTGATCACTATATATTGGAGGTATTAATATGTGCCAATTAAAAGATAAATAAAAATTTAAACATATACTTAACATATGACCCAGCAACTCCACTCTTGAGGGTATTTACCTAAGAAAAACGAAACCTTATGTTGACACAAAACCTTGTATGCAAATGTTTAAAGCAGATTTATTCATAATTACCCCAAACTTGAAACAATACAAATGTCATTCAACTGGTGAATAAAAATACTCTGGTACATCTATACAACGGACTACTGTTTGACAATAAAAAGGAACACACTAGCGATACAGGCAACAGCTTGCGTGAATCTCAATGCCATATGCTAAGACAGAGAAGCCAAGATTTAAAAGCTACATATTGTGTAAATCTAGTTATTTGACATTCTGTAAAAGGCAAAACTGCAGAAGCAGATTAGGGGTTGTAGGCCTGAGATAGGGATAGGGGTTGATGGAAATTTGCTATATCTTTGTGCTGTTGGTTTTACGTGACTGTACACATTTGTCAAACTATAGAACAGTATACCAAACAGTGAATTATGGCTCAATAAGGGAAGGAAGAGGATGGGGGGAGGGGAGGAGAAGGAGGTGGGGGAGAGGGGAGAAGTAGGAGGAGGAGAAAGGGGAGCAGGAAGAGGAGGGGGAGGAGAGGGAGGTAGAGGGAGGAGAGAAGTAGGAGGAGGAGAAAGGGAAGCAGGAAGAGGAGGGAGAGGAGGGGGAGGGGGAGAGGTAGTGGCAGCAACTGAGGCAGTAGCACAAAACCAAGCAGGGCTCTCTCTGAGCAGGAGAACGCTATTGCAGGAAAGATTTGGTGACCAAGGTAGGCAGTGGCTGAGTCAGTGTAAAAGCCAAGGGGCTGTATGAAGCTTCACTGAAAAATCAACTCACAAAAGGCAGATTCATTGGAGAAAAAGCATCGTACAAGTTTATTGAACGTGTATACACAGGAGCCTTCAGAATGAAGACCCAAAGATACAGGGGATTTTGTGATTAGGTTCAACCAAGTACAGACAGCCTTGTAGAAATACAACTGGATGGGAAGGGTATGATCTAATGCTAATAGACTGAGTGGGGAAACCCAGCGAGGCTGTCTGTCTAGATTCTTCTAGGCCTCTCTGAGCATGCATTCCTTCCGTCTGTGTGCGGGCCAGGACCCTCTCTGGAATGGGAGTCTTGTGACCTACAGTCAAGAAAAATATGCCAGATAATTTATTTATGGCCAGTTCCTACACAGATAGGACAGAGGGAAAGTTAGAGTAATATTTTTAGGTTTTCAGCTTTGGGGAAGAGGGGATCTGGTTTCTATGATCCATCCTGGGAAAGACGGATCCTAGTTTCTCTGGCTTCTCTTGGGGGAAAATAGGACTGAGAGACGGGAGGACAGGAGGTGGTCAGAGAAAAACTCCTGCTTCTGAGGGTGCTGCTGGAGGCCTTCTTTTGGGGGTGTTGCTTTCTGAGCCCTGACACTAGCATTCTCACCCAGTGTGAGGCGGCCTCCTCATGCTTCCCATAATTATTTTCTGTCTCACCCCCAAAGTCTTAATATATTTAAGTTGTCAATAAAGGGAATTTTCGAGAAAATGCAGACAGGTGCCAACAACTGATTCAAGACATTAGTGCTCCACTACCTGCATTAATGTCTGGTCTTGGAGGGGAGAGCTATAGCTTCTTCCCTGACATTTGCTTTATAGATAGAACTGAGGTTTCTAGGACCTACATTGGCAAGAGGGAGAAATAAATGTCCTTAAGCCTGATCTAATAGATTCCCTATGACTTAAAGCAACGGCCTCTAAATTTTCCATCCTCTATGCTAGTCAAATGCCACTTCCTATTCTTTTATAGCTTGTGACTTTTCTGTTTAAAGGACACTTGGTATTCTCTCCTTCCCAGGTGCCATGAGAGTTGGGTGGAGGGATGAGGGGAACAGAAAGGAGGTAATTCTCAGTGTTGCTGAAGTGTCAGGCGAACAAGATGGGAGAAACATCTTTGCAGCCACTGGGAAGGGGGCAGGCTCACAGGAAACAGAAGAACACAAAGCTCAGGGGGCAAACTAAAAGCTGTGTATTTGCTTTGGGGCCAGAGGAAAAACGTGGGCTCAGGGCTGCAGTACCGCGGCCCGAGGATTATAGGTTTGTTAAGGAACTCTTGGGTAAGATTCTTAGGTGTTCCTGCCAAGTGAGCCATCTGGCATCCTTAGGAAGAAAAAAAAAAATCACATTTTCAAAGAGGCAGTATAAGTGGCTAAAAGTTGGGTCTCTGGAATCATGAGGATAGGAGTTTAAGGCCGGACCTCACTGCTTTTGTGCTGTGTAACAGCTCCAAGCCCTGTTTTTTTCACTGTTAGATGGGGGAGCAGTGGTACTTACATGACAGAGCTGTGTGGGTAGAATCTATAAGTATAAAAATCTCAGCCCAGTACCTGCCATATGACCGTGCTTAACAGCTACTTAAAATATAATTTAATGCCAAATTTGATCCTGACTGTGTATATTCAGCCACACTAAATATAAGGCTGAACAATTCCCCAGGTAATCTGGACCGCATATGCAGCCAACCTAATACATTTACGCCATAGCCTCCTTTTATTTTCTTTTTACTTGTCATCAGCATGTTTAGGGCTTAACCTATCTGCGTACACATTCAGCAAACTCCAGCAGGCAATTAGTTGGAATGGCCTAAGTATGAGCTGTCTTCTGGTTTAATGTTTCTGGGCTTGAGCAAGGAAAGAGAACGTGCAAAGTTCTTCTAGTTTCTCCAACCAGACTGTCCCAAGAAACTTCTCTGAATGCAAAAGTGGCCAGCTTCTCCAAATCCTCTGAGAGATCAGGGTGGCAAGTGACACAATGAGGTTCCCACTAAATTCTCTTGGAGGCTGCAGGGAACAGGAGGGTTAGATATGGGTTTAGGAAATTAGACTATAGAGCCCTGATTCCCAAACTCTGTGTCAAAGTGCCCTGGGGTGCTACATCAAACTCATAGAGGTGCCGTGGGATATTTTTAAATTTCTAAGGAAATACAATGATACGTGACATCTACACAACACTGTGAAAAATGACAGTTTGAGGTAAAAAGCCACAGTTCCAGTATTAGGTTGCTCAACATTCCTTCCGATGATGTCATAGTTTTACAGAGCTGGATTATTGGTGGTTGCTGTGATACAAAGCAAGTAGCATGCAAAAGTCAAGGTGGAACAGAAAATGTGAGAGTCAATGTTTAATCTAATTCCACAATTTGAGAAGTTGCGCAGTGCCCAACAGGCACATCCATCACATTAGTAAGTAATTGTTACTATTCAAGAAGAAAATTAAACAATTTATGTATATTTTTTAATGGCTACTATGTTGTTAGGACATAAATACTCATTAAGATCTTTGGGCCTAAGTACCTACGTAGAACCATTAGGTATTTCTTTTGGCATAAGGGACTGTGAAAAAACCTTAGTAAAACATTAAGGATGGCATGAATGGAAAAAGTTTGGAAACCTGTCATACAAAGTGCTCTAAAAACCTGTCATACAAAGTGCTCTAAAAACCTGTCATACCAAGTGCTCTAAGATGCTACAGTCACGTTGGCTGATAGCCCCACCTGGCCTAATGCCTGGGGACAGGTAAGTATGAGTGAGCTAGAGGACCACAGTGAGACGGAAGAGACCTTTAAAATGATCTAGGTTGGCACTCTCATCTTACTAATAGGTAAACTGAGTCCTTGAGATGCCATGCCAGGTCCCGCTTCTCTTGTGTGTGGGTTTCCAGGGGAGCGAGTGGGGAAGGGCAGGTGGGTGTGGAGGGGCAGGAGCGGACAGGTGCAATCCCAGGGGGGCAAACAGCACACTCAACAAGAGGAGGTTGCATCGAATCGTGAAAATCACACACCTGTCTGTCTTCCCACCCATTGGGAAGGTGGGCAGTGGGTCAAGAGTGGCTGGAGGGGGCTTTAAGGATATCTGAGCGCAGACACTCCTGAATTCTTCACAAGAGACAGAGAAAGGCGGAAGCAGGGTTCTGGCACGCGGCGACAATGCCGCTGTGTTCCAGCGTCTGGCTCCAAGAGGCACTTGCCTTGTTTGTTTGTTCCTCAAGGGTAGGCTGGGACATCCGTATCAAAAGGAATCATCTCTATCTAAATTAAATCTCCCCCGGTCTCAAAGAGGCAGGGCTGGGATCTGCAAGGGGAGTGGTTAGGGCTTCGCATCCTGCGTGCCTCGCATTAAGTCAGCACCTGCATGGGCGGGGGTGCTGCTGAACACAAGCGTCTGCGGCTGTTTGAAAGGGGGAGGTGGGAAGGGGTGGGGGAATGGGGAGGGGAGACTCGTGGCATGAAAGGCAAAGGCTTCAGAGCCCTGGGGCAGGTTGTCCGGGTCAGGTGTGGAGGTTTACCTAAATATTAGGAGCTGGGGTACCTGTCAGATAATGCAAACTCTATTAAATCTGAAGGGATTCTAGAGGTCAGCGGGGCTCAGGCTGGTTATCTGCTTGCAAGATACAAAGCAATATCCAGATAAATTGCTAATGAAAGGGAGCCAAGTAGAGAGCTCTGTTCGCCCACCTAGAGAGACCTAGGAAGAAGGTGTGTGGAAGAAACCATTCAGGGGAGTTCAGGGCTTCAAGGAGGCAGCCCAGGGTGGCCAAAATAATGCCACGTGAGGAGTTAGGCATCCGGGGGCGTTGGCCTTGCTTGGCTGCTAATTAGCTGTGTGACTTCTGATAACTCATTTTGCTTTTCCAGACATTAGCTCCCCATCAGCCCACAGAGACTCCAGGATGACGTAACAAATGCAACCATTTATCCAATGCTTTCTAAGTGCCACCCGCAGTTTTAAGCATCTTCCATATTTTACCTAATTTAACCCTCGCAGCAACTGAGGTAGAGGTTGATATAATCTATCATCACAAGTATAGATAAGGCTGGGTGCGATGGCTCACGCCTGTAATCCCAGCACTCTGGGAGGCCGAGGCGGGCGGATTGCTAGAGGTCAGGAGTTCAAAACCAGCCTGAGCAAGAGCGAGACCCCATCTCTACTAAAAATAGAAAGAAATTAATTGACCAACTAAAAATATACATACAAAAAATTAGCCGGGCATGGTGGCGCATGCCTGTAGTCCCAGCCACTCGGGAGGCTGAGGCAGGAGGATCGCTTGAGCCCAGGAGTTGGAGGTTGCTGTGAGCTAGGCTGACGCCACGGCACTCACTCTAGACTGGGCAACAAAGTGAGACTTTGTCTCTAAAAAAATAAAAAACAAACAAACAAACAAAAACAAGTATAGACAAGGAGGCTGAGGTCAAGTTGGTGGAAGTTGGGTGTTCATCTCTCTCTCTGTGAGGTCAGAGTGTGGGCCTCCATCCACCACGGCAAAGTCGGGGGCCTGAGTGTGCATGTGATTCTGATTTAGTGGATCTGGGATGGGGCTCATGCTTTTGCAGGTTTAATACATGCCTGGGTCACTTGTATGTGAGTATCCCATGAATTTCTGCTTGAAAAACACAGTTGTCTTCAGGTATACATGAGGGATTGGCTCCAGGACCCCCTTGTATACCAAAATCTGTGCACACTCAAGTCCCACAGTTGGCCTTGTGGATACCATGTTTATAGAAAGTTGGCCCTCCATATATATGGCTTTTGCATTGCACAATGATGTATTTTCCATATGCCTTGGTTGGGAAAAAAATATATATCCCTGGATCCATGCAGTTTACGCTCATGTTGAGAGCCAGAGTGTGGCCTTCTGCTCTCTACACCACGAAGTGACTTGCCCTTATGGGGAAAGGTGTGGACTAGAGGGCAACTTGGAGATGAGGGGTGCCGGATGCAGGCTGTGGGAGGAACATCAGAGAATGGGTGTCCTCCTGGGCTCCCAGCTCCTGGCCACAGCTCCAGACTCACCCCCGAAAGCCGATCACATGTGGGGTGAAGCTACCGTGGCAGCCTGGTGGTCGAGTGATTCTTCTGAGCGGGAAGGTAAGTAGGAAGGCTGTGCCGGCTGAAGGCAGGGCCCATGGCCCCCGCCCGCTCTGTCCAGCATTAATTATCTCATCTTATACATGCACAGCACTCTAGAATTTTTGCCTGCTATCTCTTCTTTGATCCTTCCACACCACTTTATAAACTGTCTGTGATGTCCCTATTTTATAGGCAAGGAAACTGAAGCCCAGAGAGGGCAAATGCCTCGCCGCAGAGCTCTCACAGCCGCCGAGTGGTGGGAGGTGAATCCTGGACTCTTTGCATTATGCCCAGTGCTCTTTCCAAGACGCCGTGGCTGTCTACCAACTACCCAGCACCAGCAAGGCACACCGGGCAATGGGCAATGGAAGGAATGGAAGGCAGCATCCTTGCCCTTGCATTGTTTGCAATTTCGTTGGGTGACAAGAGTAATGCAACCAGAGGATAATACAGCATGGTCGGCTGACCCAAAGAGAACCAAGAGCAAGCACAGCCATTAAGAACCTTGCATGATGGGGCTCGTGCCTGTGTTTTTGATTCAAAAGCAACACAGGTTGCACTACATTAAAAGGCAACATTTCCTTAAGCTTTTCTACCTGTGATCCTTCCAACTAAATGACCCAATTCCTTAGGATATGGATGTCCCAGCCTGCCCCGCTCATAAGATAAAGTCTAGAGCCCACATTCTTATTCAGGCTTACCTCTTGTCATATTTCCTTTCTCTCTGGCCCTCCAGTTTCCCTTCTCTGGAGTACATGTTCCCTGCCATCCACCTGCCACACGCCCCCATCATCTCTCTTTGGGAAAACTCTTACCTATGATTTGGGTCTCAGTTTAAACCTCCCTTCCTCGGAGAATCCATTCCGATTTCCTTACATCAAGATAGGCCTCTCCCCTATTGTCTGCCCACATAACTAACATCCCAGGCTTTTTCTTTGAAGCGCTTATTAGAAATCTAATGGATATTTGTCTTCCCTATTATAACTTCCATGGGTCAGATTCTGTGCCTGTTTCATTCGCTACTAGATCCCTAGTACCCAGTGCCTGGCAGGTAATAGGGATTTAAATATCTGTTGCACAAATGAGTGAACTAATAAATGGGTGGATAGGTGGGAGGTTGGAACATTGAATGCATGGTAGAAACTGTGATATCTCTATTTCAGGGATGCGGGCCAGTATGCTGTGCCCATTTCAGTTCGCTGGATTTTCACAGACACTGTGAGAGGCAAAGAACAAAAAGATGAACAAGACCTGGTTCCTTACAATTATGCTTGTAGAAGAGAGAGGTGCAAACAAAAGATAGCAGCATATGTGTCTTTTTGAAAAAAAAAAAAAAAAAACTGGTATATTTAGCTTTTCCAAAGTTTGTAGTTCAGGGCCAAATGCCCATGGTTAAGAATTCTTGCCAATGGCCTGCACTGAACCCTTTCAGGATATAAGGGAAAAGGAGAGAAAGTCTTAACAGAGGGTATTTGGAGGGTGTCAGGGCCTCCAAAGCCAGAGAATGTTCTATCGGCATCTGCACCACCTGCGAACTTTTTGGAAGTGTAAATTCTCAGGGCCCAACATAGACTCGCCAAGTCAGAAACTCCTGGGGCAGAGTGACCCAGCCAGCGGTGCTGGAGCTGACTAGCAGGTGAGCTCTGGAGAGCAGATTGTGTGCCTCTCCCCTCAACCCAATGGTCAGTGAAGTCACATCCGTAGTTAGGAGACTGGCTGTGGTGGGAGTATTTACACCACAGAAATTGGCAAATGCAAATCAGATCTTTTCTTCCTCAGGAAGCCAGTTGTTAAAAATTTACCAGGATACCATTTGGCCTAGAAATTCTTGTTTTAACAAGCCCTCCAGGGGATTCTGACATCTTCTAGTTTTTCCTCCCCAGTGCTAACAGCATCCGAAACTCAGGTCCGTGCACATTTCATGAGACCCGAGCTTGGATGCCCCCGGGGATTGTTTGTCCCTGGTTGTGACGCGAGTATCAGCAAGGGAACAACTGTTCCTTCTGCAGGGATCCCACCTCCTGCCACCTTCCACCCTTATGTAAGAATGAGGACACTGAGGGGGAGAAGTGACTGTAGACGGCTATTTTGGTCCCCACACCCAGCATTGTTGAAAAGAGACCTGATTTGCACACAAAGATTTCATAGCTGTGAATCTCGGCAGGCTAAAAACAGCCCCATTCTGTCTACATAGCAAATTGAGGCCTTTAAAAAAAAAAAAAAAACAGAATTCAGAACCACTCTGGATGACAGTGATTTACTGAAACAGCCGAATCCTGATTTCTGCCTATGTCAGTACGGTGGGCATCACACACCTGCACGTGGTCCCGCAGAACACACTGACACACAGTAAAGGGGGAGGACGAATACAGATGTAAACAAAAGCTGCTCTGAGCAATCACATTTCCCACTTCTGCAGGGGGGGACGGTGGGGGATACAAAGGGGTCCATCTTTCAAAAGAAAAAAAGCTTCACCTGTTTATCTGAATGTATTATCCACTGAACCAGGTATATTGGCTAATGAAGCAGGTAGTTCCTCTAATGAGTCAAGCAGAGCACCTGCTGAAAATATTTCCGAGACTCACTCATTCCTCAGCTGTGGTTCATATGCTAAAAGCAAGGGGTTTAACTTGGGCCTTGGTTCCAGCCCCAGCCAAGGCTTGCCTGCTTTGTGGTCAGTCTTGATCAGAAACGAACTACGTACGTATATTATGGAGGAAAGAGGATTAGAGATTTGGTTGGCCACCTGTAAAGAACTTCTCATACACTTACTGCCATCAGGAACCATTTGTTACCAGGAAGCAGAAAAGGTTGTCATTTTTATTGATTTTCGTAATACAATGCTTGGTCCTTGATCCCCGATAAGGTTTAAGTATATGGATAGAAAGTGTGAATAGACTAATGATTAAATGCATAAACAAATATTTTTAAAAATATGGTCTCGTAGTTTTATTTGTGAGTTTGACAGATTTTCTGTCAAGGCCAGCTCTATCTTGTGTAAAGAACTGCAGAAGTCTGCCACTAAATTCCTTACTTCTATGGAATGACCGTGGTTATTGCTGTTTATAGTTACATCTTCAGTAACTATGGTTGATTTATCAGGATGAGGATTTGAAATACACAGAACATGAGTTTTCCATTTTTGGCCTTAGAGGAGACAAAGGGTTTTTAATTTTCTGCTGCCAAACCTGAGATGGGAAAGGGGCTCTCACTCATTCAGTGAGCCATCTAGGTGACATTGTTGCCAGTTATAAAAAGAGGTGCATAGTGCACCCCTCTACCCTCAGAGACAGACTGGGTTTTTATATCCTCATAACTCATAGGTAGTTCGGAGAATGGAGCCATCCTGGGCCCATGCTCTATGCTAGACATGCGTATTGCATAAATGAACTCACTTAATCCTCTCAACCCTGTGAAATAAGAATTATTAATTCATTTTACAGAGAAGGAAATGGGTTTGAGGGGAAGGTTAAATAATTTGTTCTCAATCACATAGTCCAATAATGGTAGAATTGCTATTTCAACATGGTCCGACTTCATGTTCTTTTTACTTTTCCAAATTGCTCTTCAGTCCTTGAGAATTCCAATTATATAAAAACACAAAAACTAATATACACCTATGGAAGGACGGGAGAAAGCAAACCTTGAATACAGGTCCAGCTTTGTTAAGTAACTGAAAGTCAGGTTAGCAGTGAACCATAAATGTTATTGCTGCTTAAGTAACCTAGTGGGTTTCTAGGGCTTTGTCAAAAAATGACAACGATTCCCAAATACCTGGACACTGCTGAAATGCCAAGGGTCCACTCTGCTGTTGGGCTTTCTCTTTGCCTTGTACCAAATGGGGGCAATTTTCCTAGTTACCTGAGATGGCTATAAATCAATTACTATTACTAATCAATTACAATGACCATTGCTGCTGCTAATAATACTACTAGCAGCTAACATTTATTGAGTGCTCACTATGCCGCAAACTGTAACAACTTTCTTTGGTTTCCTGTTTTCAATGCATATGTGCTACCATCCTTTTGCTAGTAACCTATCTATATATTCATATGTGATATGTTTTGTTTTTTTTTTGTAGATAGCATATATTTGGATCTTTTGATCCAATGTGACAATCTTTGTCTTTCAATTGTGATGTTTAGACTGTTCAAATTTAATGTAAATATTGATATAGTTACATTTAAATATGCAATTTTGTTTGCTGTCTGTCTGTTATTTGTTTTTCTCTCTTTTCTGCCTACTTTTGAATTAAATATTTATTGTAATGCCATATGATTTTCACTCTTGACTTTTAGTTATACCTGTTTTGTAGTATTTTTTAGTGGTTGCTTCATGGCATACAATATTTCTTTAACTCAGAGGTCCTCAAACTACAGCCCACTGGCCACATGCGGCCCACCAAGGACATTTATCCAGCCCGCTGGGTGTTTTTGCCGCCGCTGCCTGTCCTGCTTAGCAGCCAACTCATCCCGGGCCCACAGTGCGCATGTGTGGAATGTGCGCTGCACTCTCCAACGGCCCTCCAACGGTCTGAGGGACGGTGAACTGGCCCCCTGTTTAAAAAGTTTGAGGACCCCTCAAACTTTTTAAGTTTAACTTATCACAGTCTATCTTAAAATAATATCATCTCACTTCATATAAGCACAAAACCCTTTGCATAGTCTTCATCTTCCATTTTTCTCTCTCCAATCATTTGTCCTATTGTTTTTATACACTTTATTTCTACATATGTTATAACTCACAAAAGTATGTTATTTTTGCTTTAGGCAGACAGTTTTCTTTTCAAGTGAATGAAATAAGAAAACTAAAGTTCTTATAATTTACTTTTATTTCTTGCCATTTCTTGCACTCTTTATTTCTTTGTGTGGGTCCAAATTTTCCATTTGATATCATGATCCTTCTGTGGAAGAACTTCCTTTAATATTTTTTTGTAATGCAGTTCTGCTTCCAGTGCATTATGTCTACTTTTGTTTGCCTCAAAAAGCCTATTTTTTTTTTTTTGCAGTGATTTTCAAAAGATATTTTTGCTGGGTATAATTCTTCACTGATTATTTCGATTACTTGTTCAATTAATTATTAAGAAACTAATGTTAAAATTTCTAGCTAAGATTGTGGATCTGTCAATTCTTACTTTATTTTGTCAATTTTTCACTTTATGTATTTGTATGATTAGCTATTAGTTGCATATACATTGGAGATGGCTATACCTATTGGTAACTTGACCCAATACATTGACCCTTTTATCTTTAGAAAATATTTTTCTCTGCCTCTAGTAATTCTCTTGAACTTGAAACCTACTTTACCTGGTATTAATAGAGCCACATCAGCTTTCATATACGCAGTGTTTGCATGGTGGATTAGTTATCTATTGCTACATAACAACATTACTCCACACTTAGTGACTTAAAACTAAGCACATTAATTAGTCACAGTGTCTGTGGGTCAAAAGTCTAGTTATAGGTTGGAAGACTTCTCTGCAAGATTGCAGTCAAGATTATTGCTCAGGAGTTTTACTGGCTATTGACCAAGGGACAGAGTCCTTCAGTCCCACAGAATATTAGTAACTAAATTTTGCCAACAGCC